AAAAAAAAAAAAAAAAAAAAGTCATGAGCCAAAATAAACATTTCTTCGTTAAACTGTGGGTGTTAGGTATGTTGTTCCAGTGATAGGAAAGGGTCAGTAAAATAGAAAACTGGTGTCAAGAGTGGGGTCATAGCCAGCCAAATAGCTCAGCATATTAAAGTGCCTGCTTAGGCAGATACAGGGGCCAGGAGTTCGATCCCCTGGCCTGCCATGCTGGCCCCGCTCCTGGGGTTTGCTGAGACAGCAATTGAGACTAGGCATGGTGGCGTACACCTGTAATCCCAGCACTTGGGAGGCTGTAAGCAAGAGGATCACGACGAGTCCGATCTACGCAGTGAGATCCTGTAGACCCTTGTCCTAAAACTATATAAAAAAAAAAGAGTGGGGTCATATCTGTGACTATACCTGATCATATGGTTTAGAAGCCTCTAGAACTGCTTTGTAGGAGGAGTTTGGAAAATTTTGGAGAAGCAAGCTAGAGAAATCCTAGAAGGGGAAATATTGGTCAGACATCAAAAGATCAGAATGCTGATAGAAATGCAAGTAGTAAAGATCAGGCATAAGGCCTCTTTTAGAAACTAGACTACAGGTCATGAGTTTTACATAATGACAAATAATTTGTCTACATTCTTCCCATGTCCTAAGACTGTCTGAGGCTGAATTTAAATGTGGTAAACTAATTTATTTGGTGAGGCAAATTTCAAGGCAGCCCAATGTTCAAGCTACGGTATGAGTTCTGTTGGTTGCTTTTAGCCAGAGCTACAGTAAGAATCAGGAGCAAGAATAGAGTGGAAAGATGTGAAAATTCTGCAGTTTATCCAAGAAGGAAATGCACGTAAAGTTGGAGCCAATGGCCGCATGATTGCTGAAAGGTGAAAAGAGGTCAAGGACTTTGCATCAGACAGTAGGAACAAAGCTTTACGGATATTTAGGGAAATGGCAAGGCCTTTCCACCCATCCCAGGGTGAAGGGCGAAAAGGATAAACCCCTTTGAAACACTTTAAGAAGAGAGTCCCCAGAGTGTCCTGCTCATTTAGACCTGCCTAGAGAAGTGTTTCCCTGAATTTGGCCATTCATGTATTCAGAGGCTACTCCAGCCATGGTCCAAGGAGATCAGGCTGCTGTCCTAGATGGCAGTAGATCTTAGCATTCATGTGGTGAAGGTTTTTCAGACATGCAGACTATAAGAGTCGTAAGGTCCTAAAGACTTCTGCCTAGATTTCAAAGGAAGGCCTCGGAAGTTAAGCAATGTGCTCCTGAGAATGAAGTTGAACACGCAAAACAGACTTCAGGAGATTAAAGACACCAAAACCACAAAATGTTCACCAAGGAGAGCCTAAGCCAGCAAGCACAGGCAGACTAAGACACAGGCTATGTGGACTGCAACATCACAGGGGAGGTGCTATCCAAGCTATCCAGAGTTTACATCTCGCCGTGATGCTGTGGATGGTAGATATGGAATTATAAGATTTAATTTTTTTTTTTTTAGCTAGTTTTCAGTTTGGCTTTGGTCCAATTTCATAATAGCCCTGCATTTCTCCCTTTTAAAATGAAAATGTTGGCTGGCCAAATAGCTCAGCGGATTAAAGCACCTGTAAGCAAGTGCAGGAACCAAGGGTTTAATACCTGGGCCTGCCACACCAGCCCCACCCTCCAGGCAAGCTGAGAGGGTAATTGAGATTGGGCATGGCAGCCTGTGCCTGTAATCCCAGCTCTTGGAAGGCTGCAAGCAGTCTGCTCGAGTAGTGAGACACTGAACACCCTGTAGACTCTTCCCTAAAAATGCATAAATAAATAAACAAATAAATAAATGAAAATGTCTACCCTGTACAGTTGTATGTACATTTTTGGGTTTTTTTCTGATTTGTACAAGGCCTCGGAGCTAAGAATTTGTCCTGAATTTCAGAGGACCCCTTACACTTGGACTTTTCAGCAATAGTGGAACTGTTAACACTTTGGTGACTCTAAGGAACTAAATGTATTCTGCATAATGAGATAAATATAAGCTTTTGGGGGCCAGGTGCAGAATGTTATGGTTTAGATCTAAAATGACTCCCTAAGTCTCATGTGTTCAGAGGCAGGACTTCTGAAGATGAATGACCAAAGGGGGCTCCACTCATCAGTGGGCAAGTTCACAGCTGCATGTAGCCACAGCCTGGTCAGAAGAGGCAGATCACTTCGGACATGACCAGGAAGGGCATAGTCTTGTCCCTGGCTCCTCCCTTTTCTCTCTTTCCCTGTCTTTGTTCTCTCTCTCCTCTCTCTCCCTCTTTCTCTTCCTCTCTCTTCAGGTGTACTTCTAGTTTTGGTTTTGGTTTTCCTGAGGTAATGAAAATGTTCTAACATTGACTATGGTGATGTTTGTATATAGCTACATATGAATACTTAGAAAGCAATGAATACTGTATACTTTAAAAGGATTATATAAATTACATAGTATGTGAATTATATCTCAATAGAACTGCTAAAAACACCAAAGGATACTATTGCAGTGAAGACAGAATTGTTTTGTCTAATAAATTATGTTAGGTAACTGTACATCCATGTTTATCTCTGCCCATGCCTTATACAACACAAAATTGACTCCAACAGACTAGATCTTAAGGTGAAAGGCAGAAATAACACTTTAGAAGGAAACGACTCTAACCTTGGGGAAGATTTCTTAACTTGGACAGAGACAACTTTTGCTTGTGAACAATTAGGTTTGGAAACACAAGTATTGGGCAAAATTTTGTTTTTGTTGACAAACTGCATTAGGTGACAAACATGACCATAGCCATCTTTTCTTCATGAACACAAACTTGGCCATCTTTTCTAGAATTCTGGAATGAATTAATTTTGTTAAGATACCACTGTAAAAGCTAAGTGGTAATGGAGACTGCTATGAAGTAGCTTTGAGCAGAATTTATATTAACCAACCTCCTTTCCATGTTTATGTGTGAGTCTGCCCAAGGCCCAGGGCAACAGACTCATAATAAGTGAACCTGTGCTAATCACTGGTCCCACCGAGGTCTATATAGGCCTGTGAAGTAGGGATCCCGCAAAGGACAAGATAAGGCCATAGCTAAGGACGTTTGGCTCCAAACCCAATTAACTAAAAGGAGACTGTAGCTACAGACTTGTCACTCCCATGGTGAAGGCCTTCTGAAGATAACATAGTTCTCCTAAATTAACATA